TAGGTGTAAAGTGGTATCGCATTTTGTTTTCAATTGGCAGTTAATTACTTATAATGTTGAGCATCTCTTCATGTGTTATTGGTAATTTGCATATATTCTTTGAGGAACTGTCTATCCAAAACTTTCATCCATTTGTAAATTGAGTCAGTCATCTTTTATCTTTTTTAAATTTTTTTTTTATTTACTTATGATAGTCACAGAGAGAGAGAGAGAGAGAGAGAGAGAGGCAGAGACACAGGCAGAGGGAGAAGCAGGCTCCATGCGCTGGGAGCCCGATATGGGATTCGATCTGGGGTCTCCAGGATCGCGCCCTGGGCCAAAGGCAGGCGCCAAACCACTGCGCCACCCAGGGATCCCTTTTATCTTTTTTATTGTTGAATTTGAGTTCTTTATATATTCTGGGTACTAGACCCTTATTACATATATGATTTGCGAATATTTTTCCCATTCTGTGATCCGTTTTGAATTGATTTTTTATATTCAGTGTGGTATAGGGGTGATTTCATTCTTTTGCATGTAGATATCCAGTCGTCTCATTACCATGTATTGAAAAAACTATTTTTTCTTTCATTGAATTGTTGTGGCACCTTTGTCAAAAATTAAATAACCATAAATATAAGGGTTCGTTTCTATTTTTTTGCTTTAGTTTTATTTATTTATTCATGAGAAATACAGAGAGACAGAGACATCGGCAAAGGGAGAAGCAGGCTCCCCGGGGGGAGCCTGATGCAGTACTTAATCCCAGGACCCTGGGATCACAACCCAAGCTGAAGGTAGATGCTCAACCACTGAGCCATCCAGGCATCCCATAAGGGTTCATTTCTAGACTCAATTCTAATTCATTGATCTATATATCTATACTCATGCAAGTACCACTTTTGATTACTGTAGCTTTTGTAAGTTTTGAAATTAGGAGATGTGAGTCCTCCAACTTTGTTCTTTTTTAAAGATTATTTTGACCATTCTATATTCTTGAATTCCTATATGAATTTTAGAAATGTTAGCATAGGGATCCCTGGGTGGTGCAGCGGTTTAGCGCCTGCCTTTGGCCCAGGGCGCGATCCTGGAGGTCCGGGATCGAATCCCACATCGGGCTCCCGGTGCATGGAGCCTGCTTCTACATCTGCCTATGTCTCTGCCTCTCTCTCTCTGTGTGTGTGTGTGACTATCATAAATAAATTTTAAAAAAAATTTAAAAAAATAAAAAAAAAAAAAGAAATGTTAGCATAGGTGGTACCTGAGTGGCTCAATTGGTTAAGTGTCTGCCTTCAGCTCAGGTTATCATCTCAAGGTCCTGGGATTGAGTCCCGCATCAGGCTCCCTGCTCAGCAAGGAGCCTACTTCTTACTTTCCTCCACCCTGCTTGTGGTCTCTCTCTCTCCCTCTTTCTTGAATAAATAAATCTTTTTTAAAAAAAGAGAGAAAGAAACATTAGCATATTCATTTCTGTGAAAAGGATCATTGGAACCTTGACAGATTGCACTGAATCTATCGATCATCTGGGGAATATTGCCGTATTAACAGTATTAAGTCTTCCAATGCATCAATACAGAATATCTTTTCATTTAGTTAGGTCTCCAGTTTTTTCCAACAATATTTTATAGTTTTCAGTATACAAGTCTTTTTTTTTTTTTTAAGATTTTATTTATTTATTCATGAGGGAGGGACACTGAGAAGCAGAGACACAGGCAGAGGGAGAAGCAGGCTTCATGCAAGGAGCCTGACATGGGACTCAATCCTGGGAATCTGGGATCACGCCTTGAGCCAAAGGGAGATGCTCAACCACTGAGCCACCCAGGTGTCCCATCAGTGTACAAGTCTTGAACTTCCTTAATTTATTCTTAAGTATTTTATTCTTTTTAATACTATTGTAAGTGGGATTTTCCTAATTTTACTTTCAGGTTTTTTGTTACAATTACATGGAAATATAACTGATTTTTCTATATTGATCTTAAATCTTGCAGCCTTGATGAATCTATTATCTGTATAGATTTTTTTTTTGTGGATTCCTTAGGATTTTCTATATATAAGATCATGTCATGTGCAAATAATTTTCCTTTGCAAATGGGATGGTCCTCCCTTCTTTTTTGCCTGTCATTGCATGAACTTCCAATACAATATTGAATAGAAGTGGTAAGAGAGGATACCTTTTTTGTCTTGTTCCAGATTTTAGGGGAAAGCATTCAGTCTTTCATTATTAATTAAATATTATGTTAACTGTGGGTTTTTTTTTGTAGATATCTTTTATGAGGTTGAGGAAGTTCCCTTCCATTTCTAGTTTGTTGAATATTTTTATCATAAAAGGGTGTTGGATTTAGCCAAATACTTTTTGTGTGTCTATAAATATGACCATGTGGTTTCTTGTTATTTATTTATTTTTTGTCCTTTATTTATATGGTTGTTACATTGATTGAGTTTTGGATGTTAAAGCTACCTTTCATTCTGAGATAAATCCCACTTGAGCATAGTGTCTATTCCTTTTTATATGCTGCTGGATTTGATTTGCTAGTATTTTTATTGAGGATTTTTGAGTCTATATTCATAAGAGTCTATATCTGTGGTTTGCTTTTTATAATGCCATTGGTTTTTGTGTCAGGGTAATGCAGGCCTCATATATGGAGTAGAGGTTTTTCTCCTCTACTTTTTTGAAGGGTCTGGGGTACTCTTAATGCTTGATTTTTGAGACTTCCAACCTTCCTTTCCTTGTGGATCTAGGCTAGAACTGTTTACAGTTTGTTGATGTTCTCAGGATCATCTTTTTATTTCCTTCTTCTTGCAATACTACCTCCCTGATTTCCTCAGGGAGGAAATCCCTATGTTTCAAGATAATAATGACCTGATTTGAAACACTGTATACATTTACTTGTTTAAGGTGTTTTTTCTCCTCTCAAGGAAACATATTCGTTTACCCTTGAGCAATGCTGGGGTTGGGGTGCTGACCCCCTACACAGCTGAAAATCCACAAATAACCTTTGACTCCTCAAAATTTAATAGCCTACTGTTTATCTGAGCTTTACCAATAACATAACAATCAATTAACACTTATTATAACATCCTGTATTCTTATAATATGTATAATATCCTGTATTCTTATAATAAAGTAAGCTGGAGAAAAGGAAATATTATTAAGAAAATCACAAAAAAGAGAAAATACATTTACAGTACTGTAAAAAATGTGCATATAAGTAGACCCATGTAGCTCAAACTCATATAGTTCAAGGGTCAACTGTAGTCTGTTTTGCCACAATTTGTGTTTCTGTAATGCAAATTAGCTGATAATAATTAAATAAGGGAATGATACAGCATACCATGGAAGTTATCCTTAACTTTTCATAGTTGATTTTTCTAGCAGTAGAGGTAATAGAATTATATAACCTTTATTAGGATGGAGAAAAGCCTTCAGCTCAGCTGCTGCACAGGCAAGAACTCTTTCAACTCTTAAAAACAACAACAATAACAACATAAAAAAAAGAGTACTAGTTCTCAGGATCCCTCCCCAGAAAGGCACTCTCTCAGACTTATGGCTCTTAGACTATGGCAGGTTTCACTTCTTTCTGTGCCCACCTTAAAGCAACCCCACTGGCAAGAAACTCTACTTTATCCACATTATTTCAGTACCCCTAAGTTTACATTTTTATTTTTATGTTGTTGTTGTTTAATATCCCCTGAAGTAATTTCTGGCTAAAGTGCCTTCCTGGGCTATTTAAGTTTCACCTCAGGTGCCAATTATTGACATGTGTTTTTTTGTGCTTTGGTTCCAAAGTAGTATAGATTTTAAATGTTGTGCCCTAACCCTATTTTTTCCATAAACCCTATTATTTTTAGTGCACAATATTGTAGGACATGAGATTTTTCATTACTGTGTGTCACATGTTCCAATGTAAATGCTTGTATTTTTACATTTTAACCAAGGATTTTTGAGATACTGGATTTACTTAAAGTGGAATTAGATGGAGATGTTTAGGCAAATAGGAGTTTTGCTGTCCCTCAAATCTTCATTTTAAAGAAATTCTCCTACTTCTTTTTAAGGAAGAGCTAGTCCAACCTGGGCCTCTGAAAATTTTCTTCACTAATAATAGTAACAGCTAACAATCCTCAGTCCCTCACATTTCCCATTCCATTGATGCTGTGGCTGCTACCCGTTCTCCACTGTGTGTTCCATCTTTCCATTGTAAATCCGGTAGGCTCATTAGCTTTGAGTTAGCCAGTCCTAGACTTTCTCCTCTTCCAGTCACGAGAGTGGTTTTCACAACCTGCTTGGTAAAATCTGTCCTCTTGGTCAGTGCTTCTCAAATTTGGGCACTTTTCAGAATTACCTGAAGGGCTTGTTCAACCACAGGTTCCTTGGATGCCACCTCCAGAGATTCTGACACAGTATACATTAAGTCTGAATGAGAATTTGCATTTCTAACAAGGTCCCAGCTGATGCTGAGGCCTCTCGTCCAAGGACCACATTTTGAGTGCCATTGCTATAAATGGCCCTGTCATCAGCAGTGTCACTATCTTCATCAGTTCCTCCCACATCAAACCCAGGACATTGCATTGGCATAATAATTCTCAACCAGGGGCACTTTTGATCCCCAAGAGATATTTGACAATGTCAGGAGACACTTGTCATAACTGGGAAAGAGGGTATGCTCCTGATGTTTGGTAGGTAGAGGCCAGAGATGTTGCTAAACATCCTACAATGCACAAGATAGCTTCTTACCACAAAGAATTATCTGGCCCAAAATGTCATTAGTGCCAAGGTTGAGCAACTTGGCAGTGACATGCTATTGCTTTGTTTGCCCACAGCATGCAATCCTTCTGATTGTATCTATACCGAGTTGGTAGCCCATAAAGTGAAAATACAGGCAAAGAAACAGTTCCATTCCCCCATCCCACAATTTTTTATATTTCATTGAAAATAAAACATCTAAACTTTAAAACTATGAAATGCTTTGGGATATCAGCTACAAACATGATAACTTGTCTTCAGAGTACTAATTTCTCCTTTTTAGGTCTCATGGCAGAATGGAAGCCTTTACTGTTTACTGAAGCTAAATCTTTGGACATTGGGCCAACCTATTTCTTTGATCAGGTAATAATATAGCTCAGTCTCATCAAATTGTAGTTTACTCTTCTAAAAATAATTCAGTTTGGGCCAGCATTTTTCTCTGTTTTTTTTTTTTTCTCTGTTTTCTTAATTAGAAAATTTCCTTTCATTGTAGATGAAACCAAAAAGGAAAACATGGAAAAAGAGAGAACATGAAGACCATTTCCTCCATTTGAGATACACCTCAGGAGCTGATTATAAGTAAAATATTTGGAATTATTCTTCAATTGCTGGGTTACTTTACATTTTCTTTTTTTTTTTTTTTTTAAGATTTATTTATTTATTCATGAGAAACACAGAAGAGAGAGAGAGAGGCAGAGACCTAGGCAGAGGGAAAAGCAGGCTCCTCAGAGGGAGCCCAAAACAGGACTCGATCCTGGATCCCGGGATCATGACCTGAGCTGAAGGCAGGTGCCCAACCCCTGAGCCACCTGGGCGTCCCTACTTTACATTTTCAAAGAGTTATAAGGTGTTCAGGACCAGTGCTTCCCTACCCTATTCCCCAACTTTCAAGAAACCATAATAAGGAATTTTCCATTTCAAAACTGACCATGATGCCAATCAGAGAACTTTATTTTAGCCAGATCAGTGATTAATTAAAGCATAATTGGTCATATCTGACTAGCTACCCTGGTTTTTTGTTGTTGTTGTTTTTGTTGTTTTGTTTTTTTTTGTTTTTTTTTTTTGGTTATTCCACAACACACCCAGCCCCCACTCTTGCTTTAGGGAGTTTGTAGTAGCTGTTCCCTTTGCTTTCTTCATTGTTTACTTTCTATTCCTCTTAAGTTTTTACTTAAATAGCACCTTTTTGTTGAGATTTTCTTGATAATCCTATTTCAAATTTCTACCCAATCCCCACCTTGGCATTATCTATCTGTCTTCCTAACTTTCCTCTTGTATTTGTCACTTTCTGACATTCTAAATGTCATTCTTATTTCTTTGTTTGCCCTCCCTTTCCTCATGAGAGTATCAAGTCTATAAGGGAAAGATTTTCATTTTTATCATTTTATTAATCTTTTAAAATAAGAGAGGGAGAGAGAGCATGTGCGAGGGGCAGAGAAGGCAGAGGGAGGAGAGAGAAAGGGAAGAATCTCAGGCCGACTCCATGTGGGATGTGGAGCCCATTGGGGGACTCGATGTCACCACCCTGAGATCATGACCAGAGCCAAAATCAAGAGTCAGTCACTTAACCGACTGAGCCACCCAGGTGCCCCAAGGGAAGATTTTTTTAATCTACTTGCTCATTTATTTATCCCCAGTCCCAAAAGCAATGCTTGAGCACATAGAGTGGGCTTATGAGAGATCTGTAACTTGACAACCATGGGATTGTGTCAGCCATCAAAGATAAATGAAGCAATGGAACTAGCCATTTCACAGTGTTTTTACCCACTACTTACTACAGTTTCTTTCTTTTTTTTTTTTTTACTACAGTTTATTAATTTGGAAATTAAAATACCCCAACCTGTCTTAGAACATATATCTCAAGGTTATATAAGGTTAAAAGCTGTCACTTATACCAGTGAGTTCTTGAGTAGGGGCAGTTTTGCCTCACAAGGGACATTTAGCCATATCTGAAGGCATTTTTGGTTGTAATGTCTAGGGATGTGGTGCTATTGTTAATCTAGTGGGTAGAGACCAGAGATACTGCTAAACATCCTGCAATGCACAGGACAGCTCCCCACAAAAGGATATTATCTGGTCCAAAATGTCAAGAAGGCTAGGGTTGAGAAACTCTGGTGTATACTAATCTGGTAGAGTTTGTTTGTTTGCTTTGAGCATGCTGTAACTTTTCTCAAGACCACTGCAAATTGCTGCTCTTTTCAGAAGTCTATTGTTTTTCATTTCCAACTCTTTCTGTTTGAAAAGTGATTTCAACACAACTTGGTTATTTTGTATTCACATTGCTTGGCTTATAATTGGCATTCAGTAAGTGAGTTCGGATTGTCATATGGGCAATAAGTAGGTCTGTTTATTATCAAGCTCCAGGGCTTTGTTGGCTGCCCAGCTTTTTCATTTGATGTATGTCTTAAGCATTGCTTCTGTTTATTCTACTTGGAAACACCGTGTTTCAACCACTGGCTATCCTACTGCTGCCACTGCAGCAGGAATAAAATCCACACTTCTTAACCATGAATGTCATGTCCTTCTGTCATTTCCTCTCCTGCAGGCCCTCCAACCTCCTCAGATAGCACTCCTTGTCACTTGTTCCCCAGCCATGATGGCTGATCTATTCTTTTAACAGCATAACTCATTCCTGCTTTTGGTTCTTTGCATTTGCTGTACAATCTGCTTTAAATGCTTTTCAGCCATATTATTTTATGCTTGGCTCTTCCTCATCATTATTCTAGTTTCAGTGCAAATGTCACCTCCTCACAAAGGCCATCCCTGACTACCCAAACCAAAGAAGCCAATCATACACCTGCCCATCACTCTATTATAGTGTCTTGTTTTATTTTCATTATCCTAGTTAACACTACCCATGCTTGTTATATCCTTCCCTTTTCCCTCTTCTCCCTTCATGTTTTCCTTCTTGTCTTTCCCCAACTGTAGTCTAAGGTCCATGGGGACAGAGTTATACCCTCTTTACCATTGTCTCTCCAGTGCCTAGAACCATGCCTGATGAATATTTCTTAAATGAATGAATCATTTCTTCACATCTGCGGTGCTTAGAGAGATGGGGCTACTTTAAGATTGGGCCAGGTGTTAAGACCTTTATTGTTGCTTATCGCTTGTTAAGATTATTAAGTCTGGTTTTAAAATGGATAGTCCATTATTAAAGTTTCTGTCTGAAAAATAAACCAGACATATAAATATTTTTTAAGTGTACATTAAATTTCTTAACCTTCTGAAGGAGGTAAAATTATTGACCTTATTTTATATATGATAAAACGGAGGCAATTAATAAATGGTAGGTATTAATATTATTGTAATATGTACAGTTTTTATCATTTTATTTGAGCAATAGACAAATCTGGCAATTATGAATGCATATTTATAGAATGTTGCAAAGAAAATAACTTTATTTTTGTTATTATTTTTATTTTTTTTAGAAAATAACTTTAAAATGAAGATAACACAATAGCTGGCTCATTGGGTTAGTATTAGAGTTGGTATAATGATGTTTATGAAAGCAACTTTGAAATCCATAGAGATATATAGAAATTTAAGGAGTTATTATTGTAATATATTTAAAGTTTTCAAAAATGGGTCTTCCATCTTTTAAATATCTGTGAAAAGATAAACATTACTTGAAGATCAGGATTTAAGATCTATGTTTAGAATTCTTATGCCAATTAAAATACCTTTTGATCTTAAAAAACATCCCTTTTATTTTACATTAAATACTTAGTTGAGAAACTAGTATTATTTCAAACTATGTGAATGGAATTATTATTTAGAAGATAAATGCAAAAAAAAAGTTAAATGCAAGTGGCTCTGTAGTGCTGTTTACCATTTTATAAAAACTTTATTTAGGTGAAATTCCATCCAATGCCAACATGTTTTACTACATTGACTTGGTGAAAGAAAACACTTTGAAATTGTTATGACTTAGGTAGCTGTCTTAGAAATCTTTGAGCAACTAGTTTAGAGAACATTTCAAAGGACAGTTCACTTAAAGTATTTCATGCCTCTGATGGTATAGTGAAATTAGTTTTTTTTTTTATGCAATAGATATTTGTTGAATGAATGAATAAAGATGGTAGCCAGATTACAGATTTTAAGGTCCTGAAAAGGGAAGGACCGAGTCTTCTTCTCTCTGTATTCTATCTAACACAGTGTCCACACAATGTATGCTTGATTATCCTCCTAGATTTTATTAATCAACTATCTAGAGGCTTGAAGATACCTTTGATATTGCTCAGTGAAATATGTGCTTGGGATATAAATATTCTATATTTAACTCATGGCTCCTATCTTGAAGAAGGATCACATCTGGGCAAAGCTTGAACCCACTAAAGTTGCTACTTGTACCTAAATCAATCTTCTTTTCTTTATTCTAATATTTGTTGAGCAAATATGTGCTAGAGAAACAGTAGTGAACAAAACAAAGTCTCTGCTTCATGGAGCTGTCATTGAAGCAAAAGGAAACAAAAAAAGCCAAGTAAACAAGTTAATATATAGAATACCAAATAGTGATATGTGCTTTGGAGAAAATAAAACTGATTCAAGGGGAGGAGAGTGATGCTGTTTTATATAAGGTGTTCAGAATGGCACCATTTCTACAGTAATATTTGAGTGGAAGGTGGATGTGAGGGTGTATGGTACATAAATGTGAGAAGCATCATACCTGTCTGTTGGAAGACAGCAAGGGGGCCAGTGTAACTGAAGCAGAATGAATTGGAAGAGAGTAGTAGTAGGAGATAAGATCACAAGAATAAGAGGAAAGGGAGAGGGTCTGATCATGAAAGACCTTAGATGCCATTGTTATACAGGCTTTTACGCTGAGTGAGATGGGAAGCCATTGCAGAATCTTAGTGGAGAGGGGTTACTTGACCTTAATAAATGACCAGGCTTACATGTTGCAATTCAATTTTAAGGATTAGAGAAAAAGCAGAAGATTCGATAAGAGCCTATCTATAGTAATAATCTAGGCAAGGGATGATTGTAGGTTAGCTAGTATGGTAACTAGAAAGAGGGACAATGAGGTTGCATTCTGGATATAGTTTAAGGCAGAGATGACTGGGTTTGTTATGAAATGAACATTGAATGTGAGAGAAGGAAGATAAAGATATCCAAAGATAACTCCAGAACATTTGGCCCGAGCAGTTGGAAGAATGGAATTGCTATTTATTGAAGTAAAAACTAAGGGAAGAACAGGTTTGGTGGGAAAATCCGACATGTTGGATAAGCTGAGCTTGAGGTGCCTATTAGATATGTTATGTAGGAAGTTAGATATACAAGTCTGGAGGTCAGGTGGGAAGTCAGAGCTAGATATTTGTGAGTTGTCAAGGTCTAAATGGCTTTTAAAACCTTTTACTTGGGTAAGATTACATGGGGAATATTGGTAGAGAGAAGAAGAGGGGTGTGAGAGGGAGAAGTTGACGAGAAACCAGCAAAAGAGTTGGAGAAGGAATATCCAGTGAGGGAGGAGAACCAAGAGAAAGTGTTATTCAGAAAACTAAATGAAGAAAATGTTTTAAGAATGTTCAGTTATGTCAAGTGCTACATTGGGGTTGTGTGAGTTGAAGACTGAATAGTGA